AGAAAACAATGATTTAGTATCACTCACATTGTGTAATTTGTAATTACCGGCGTATGACCCCTCAATTCTTCACCTACGATACATGATCATTAGTGGGGCAATCGATAAATTAGACGAATTTAATCATTTGAGTGACATATAATGAGATCAATGACTATACGACTGATAACTCATGCGCATCTATATGCGGCGGTGGTAGTTGTGAGCTAATGTTGAACTCGTTTATGTGGTGGTGGTAGTAGTGAGCGAATGTTCAACTCTGTAATGCGACGGTGGTAGTAGTCTAATTGTATCATATGTATCGTTTGTTTTGCAGTTCGTTCATTATAGTCATTGTGTTTCATGTGGTTGTTTTTGGAGTTAATTTATGAATAGCTAAGGATGTCTTGAACCTAGGTTGGTGCTGAATGTGCCGAAAGCGACCATTTTACATTGGGCACCAAACTGGTTCTAAGTGTTTTTGGGCAGAAATAGTCATATGAGTTTTCGATTATTTTATATTATTTTATTATGTGTTGAAACTACGCACATTTGACATCGGTGAGAGTATACTAGATCCTCAGTAAACGTGATATAGAAAAAACGCATGCATACAGTACATGTATCAGATGACAATGAGTGAGTAATGTATTTTAACTGCATGCACATTATTAAGAGAGCTATTGATATTGCAGGGACTTATTCATTTTATAGTAATTTTTATCCATTAGAGTCGTGTTTGCTGCCACTCGCTTCCAAGTTTGCAGCATTTATAAATTGTACATATATATGCGCGTACGTAGATACACTCAGGAATATTAGCTGAGAGAGATTTGTTGGACCCTGAATTTTAAACTGAATTTTAAATCATGTAGGATGGACATGACTTTAAATGATGCACTGATGAATACACGAATATATCAATTTTATGTATACCTTTTGATGTAAACATTAGAATGATACCGTTTGTGCTGTTTCATATAGATGTAGAGGTGTATGTGTACCTAAATTATTCACATAGACATGCACGTCTGTTTCCGTGCATCTTTTACGGATACCTACACTTACATCTACACCCATACTCCTACACATACGCTTACACGTATACGTACACATGCACGCACCTAAATAATAAGACCTATACACTTATACTTGCAACTACATCAATAATATCACATACACTTACACTTACACCTACGACTACACTTTTACCTACACATACACCTGCATCAATACTAACACCTTTGCCTTCACTAATACTTAACACCTACAGCCTGTATGTAAACCCACCATTACTCGTAACTATACCTACCTACCCCTATAAT